ATATAGGGGGCTACTATGGGGGTCATTAAGGGGGATACTAGGAGTTTAGGCAATGGCTCATATGTCTCCCGCACAAACCCCTACAGAATCCCAGCACACTCCGCACAATGAAAGCGTCGGGGTGCGCCAAAATCCCTAGGGCTAGCGGAGAGGTAGACCAAATCCTCAATCCCTAAACCCTGTATATGTATTTGTGTGTATATATCTGCATGCAGTTCTATGCAGATGCATTTCGCTGTCCCCCTTTAAATGGCAGCTTCCCAAAAACAGGGGACCCCAATGTAGACCCCAAACTACTTTCATCCGGGGACCCCCCAAAAAGGTACCCCCTAATTTTGGGAAACCCTAAACCTTATATATGTATATATCCCTATATCACCCTATATATCCCCCATAAGCCCCTTTAAAGGTACCCCCTAATTTTGGGAAACCTCCAAAGGGACCCAAGGATCCCCCTCTCCTAGGAAGCCTCCATGAGCCATGCGTCTGCAAGGCCTTACGCGTCGCGTTGACGAGCTTTACCCTGAGTTGCCGCAGTACACGGCCAAGTACATGGATGAGGACTGGGATTTAGGGTTTAGGATTTAGGGTTTAGGAGTTAGGGTTTAGGATCTAGGTTTAGGGTTTGGGGTGTACGGTGTTTAGGGTTTAGGGTGTTGAGGGTTTAGGGTGTTGAGGGTTTAGGATCTAGTGAGGACTGCCTTTCTGGGTTGCTGTTAAGGAATTCAAGTGTGTCCAGTATGTATTCGAGCTTTGAATGGCACTAAACTGCAACGTTAGACCTTAAAGCCGAAGCATTAAGATTCTTGATCAAAACCCCGGGTGCGAGATCCCCAACCAAAGGCTCTGCCGAACGCCCTTGCTGCAATCACATAGTTGGGCAGCATTCCATGGTGTTGTGATAATGCATATAGGGTCTTGTAGGGATAATGGAAAACAAGATGGAAGCAACCTCGACCCATGGGATTTTTTAGATGAATATCACTTTCTGGGTGTATGTAGAGATATAACCCCTATCATGGAGGATCAAATGGAAATGAACATGGAAAATGAAATGAGACAGTGACATGCTGTACTGGTTGAGTCCCTTCTCCCTAATACTACCCCGCTCCCCCCCGACATTAAAGACACCCCATTGTGGTATATTATAGTATATTGGGAGTATTTCATGTTAGGTCGGGTTTAGGGATATCTCTCCAATAATGGAGAATCATGGAAAAGATGGAACATTTAAATGGAACTTATCCCCTAAAACAGTACTTGCCGATTTGGTTTCCATTCTTCGTGCCCAACCAAAACCAACCAGCAGGCTAAACTCTGAACCCTTCAACCCTTAACCCTTTCTCTGGAACCTGTTCCGAAGGAGGGTGACGTCTGCACCCTTTGCGAAGCCTCCTTCGCCGACTTCTTGGAGGCCAGCTATCATCAAGAGGTAGGCTTTACAGTTGCGCGGGTGGTTTACAGGTTAGAAGCTTACAAGGATTACAGTATTTTTTGGGAAAGGCTTGGGGTTCTGGGGATAGAGTATGCTTCGTTCAGGGTTTGCGAGTGGGCCAAGGCCGTGTTTCAGATAAACATTTCGTGCGGTAGTTGTTGAGATCCAAAGCAGAGTTCTTACATAATATGGGTGACTGCAAACAGCACAGCAGGTTGTCCTCGTGGGACGGGCATGCGCATCCTACCTAAGCTATGATGCTTGTCCTTTTATGTTGAGGGCTTAGATGTCGTAAGCAAATTGGTATTGCTGGGGTCCTGCTAGGCTGGGCCCGACTATCCCCAAGTTTGTTCAGGATTTGGGACTGCTGGTATGGGGTTTGGGGTTTTACTTTTCCTGCAATCCACACCTGTGCCTGTGCCCGTATCAATGTCCGTGGGCTATATTTCAGGGAAAGGCACAAACAGGAATCCTAACATGAACGCTTGACCATCTTCGCTAGAATTGTTCTAAGCTTTGTTGTCACAGCTGTCCTTGAGAAGCTTCCATGGGCTGGTCCAAGATTCTTAGTTCAACACACTGGCTGTATATTGCAGCTTTGGTTACTTGTGCCTGGAGGCGACTGCCATCAGGTCCAATGCAGGATTGCTCTTTGGATTGGGGAGACCGACAGGGCCTATGTCAACCCCACCAAGCGCCCAAGGGAAACCCGTGGCAAAGACCTTGTAATTCGACTTTCCTACCTAGTCTGCAGCAGTGTCCCCAGAAGTCTTTTCCACGCCCGTTCAGATGCCCAATGGAAGGTCTCTTCGCAGGCAAAGAGTGCGACTGCCAATAACCTTGGCAGCGACACCAAGGTGGGCTCGCTGGGCTTGGTGATCTTCTGGGTTACTATAGTATCCCCCTATAATGGAGAATCAAATGGAAAAGAAAATGGAAAATGAAATGGAAACTGGGGAAATATGGGGATTTAAGGAACTTAAATTAAGTTACTATATTGGGGAAACCCTTTATTTACTATGTATACCCATTATGGTAACTTAATTTAAGTTCCTTAACAGCAACCCAGTCTTCTAGCCAGGTCTGGGATTGGTGTCTCTGGGCACACATCTTGGGCTTGATATGATTGATATGGTATTATTGCATCGCTCTTGGAATTACTCCTCTGTTGCCACCGCAATAAATGTGCGGGTTTGGAAGTATGATGTCCTGGTAGTTGAAGTGATCCATGGTGCAACAAAACACCTGGGTTTCGCAGCGGACCGATCACGCAAACAGAAAGCTGTGGTTTGGCAAATTGGCACTAACTAGCATCGACATTTTCACGGCTTTGCCGATCCTCGAGACTGCATTCTTACCACTGCTGCAGCAGAAGGACCAGGACAGAAATTTCTAACACTCTCGGAACTCTCAAGAAGCTCGGACAAGCCATCCCTGCAATCCCCGCAGAAGCCCTACTTATCCCTGGGAAGGATGCCCCATTATCAATCAGTCAATTGTCTCAGACTCCAATCCCTACTATAACCCCTATATAACCCCAATATAATCCCAATATAACCCCAATATTACCCCAGTATAATCCCAATAGAACCCCTTTAACATAGACCTCTTCCCAAAAACTCTCAACCCTACGGTGCTGTGATGCTATGATCAGGTCATCCTAAAGCTTGAGCTTGAGGCGGGATTTGCTTGGCTTCAGGGCTTTTGGAGCAGCCAGAGGAGAAGCGTGGGAAATTGCGGTTGATAAATGGATTGCTTATTGGTTGTTAGTAGGGAATCTGGGAATATAATCCCCATAGAATCCCTATATCGTCGTATATTCCCACATTCCCTACTGACCCTAAACCCTAAACGCAAAATTGTAATGTGCATTTTCTTTTCCATAATCCCTATATAATACATATTCTTATATTCCCTGCTAACTACCAGGAAGATTGCGGGGCGCTAAGGGCTTTGGGTTTGTAAGACTTTTACTTACTGGGGATTAGTAGGGAATAAGGGAAAATACAAAATATCATATAGGGATTATATTGGGGATTATTCCCTTCTCCTTACTAATCACTAGTAAGTTTAGGCAACTTGGTGAGATCCAAACCCTATCATGAAGATTCAAGTGGAAACTGCTATCCTATAGCTAGTCGACAGGAACCAGCCCAAACCATCAGCCTCCAAGTAGAACTGTTGGCCAGGTGCCTGGCGTCTCAAAGGTTTCCTCCAAGCCCCCCACTGCGGTGCCCCCTGCGGTGCCAGAGGCGGAGTCAGGGCATGAGCAATGTAGCGACCCACTTGCTTGAATTGGAGTACGGTGTACGGTAGTTCAAGAAGGATTCTAGGGGAATGATGTCAGCAATTAGGCCTTCAGGCTTCTGCATGATGTCTCAAGTTCTCGGTTCCTCTGTTACATGGTGTTGCTGTTTTTACCGGGGGTTCAACATGTGATATAGAGGCTTCAAGGAAGTTGCGAGATAGGACAGGAGATGTCCCCAAGGGCTTCTGAGCTGGTTCACGTTTCTCAAGGTGTGCCCGGTGCCAGACATATCGGGTTTTATTCGGGTTATACTTGAGTTTTATTGGGGTTATATTCGGGTTATATTAGGGTGATATTTGGATTATATGGGGGTCAGATTGGGGTTACCAAAATTGAGTTGCCGGAGGCCTTCTCTCTCTATCCTGATATTCCAGCCAGAAGCCTATGTGTGCATTTGCGCGCATCAAAAAATCCTACCCTAATTGAAAGCCCCACCTAAGCATAGACCTTGAACCCCCTATAACCCCAGTAGTTTCCATTGTATTTTCCATTATCCCTACGTAACCCCAATATAACCCCAATATAACCCCAATATAACCTCAATATAACCCCAATATCACCCCAATATAACCCCAATGTAATCCCAATATAACCCCAATATAACTCCAATATTACCCCAATATAAACCCCATATCACCCCTTTCACATAGACCTTGAATCCAGAGACCAGGAGCCGGACCTTGAAATCATCTCCGGCCCCGCGCCCATGACGGTCCAGGACAGGTTGAGCTACAGCGTCTTGGAAGTGAGCAATATTGGAGTTATATTGGAGTTATATTAAGGTCATGTTGGAGTTATATTTGAGTTATATTGGGGTTAGGTTATATTAGGCTTATATTAGGGTTATATTGGGGTTATGTTAGGGTTATATTTGAGTTATATTGGGGTTATATGCATAATGATTACCCCACCCCCGAGAACTCCCCAGCTCCAGGAGGTGAATGTTCCCATTACTCCGGCGCCGACAGCCTCCGTCTTCGTGGACAAGGCGGCATGGCGCGGAAGAAGCGTTACTGTAACTATTGGGGTTATATTGTTATGTTGGGGTTATATTGGGGTTATATTGTTCTATTGGGGTTTATTGGGGTTAAAGGGGGTTATGTTAGGGTTATATTGGGGTTATATTAAGGTAGGGCTAGGCCATGGTCGTTTCAAGCTTTTTTCTTTATAGTCAGCACCATGGCAATGATCACAGCAAGCTTAGAATAATGATGCTAGTTTCAATATCGATTGGGTTCGTGTCATTGCTGTCCGCCTTGTTTTATGCTGGTAGGCCCAACCTAGTCCTTCGAGTACCACACCCACTTTAGGCCAGACTGCTTTTCGCCTTCATGAGGCCCCAGAAAGTCCGCGGCCAGCTGCTGCACCGGCATCAGATGTCCCTGCAGACGAGGACTTTTTAGTGAAGCGTGCGGCCGCCGCCACGTAGGGTTCTCCTGGTTCTGGCAAGATTGTGGCTGCCACGCCACAGCCCCAGTTGTTAGTCTGACGCTTTTTGCTTAGTCTTTCCCGCGCAGCCGCAGTGCGTGCAGCACACGCTTATGTGATTTAGACCTTCCTGCCCTTTGGTATTGTGGCTCATTGCATGAGGTATTGCTAGCGTGGCGCTTTGGTCAAGCTTGTTGAGCCCCGTAAGATCCAAAAACTCAGTTCGGAGCTTGATGCCCTGTAAGAGGCAAAGCAACCGGCTATGGTAACACATTGACATGAGGTTGCTTCTGCAAGCATACTAGCCAAGGCCCTATGACCAAGTTATTCCCAGCAGTCATCCTTGCTTGTAAAGTGCTGGCCCTTGGCAAGAAATCCAATTTGCCCAAGCCTTCAAAACCTGAAAGCCTGAACCCCCACTGATTTGGAGAAATTCGCATAACCGCCTTTCTCCAAATATTCCCTGGCACCCATACTCCGCTTCCATCCCCCCAGTGTCCCTAAATTCCTAATAATAGTAATGATGATAATAGTAATGATAATAATAGCAATGATAATTGTAGTAGTAATAATAATAGTTTTGTGTTCAGATTGTACGAGGACATGGGCCAGCAAGAGAAGCCGGAGGACTTGCCCAAGCAAGAGCATGCGGCGTCGGAGGAGGCTGTCAGTCGACATGGTGTTTGAAGTGTTACTGAGTTGCTGTTAAGGAACTTAAATTAAGTTACCATAATGGGTATATATATATATAGTAAATGATGGGGTTTCCCCAAAATAGTAACTTAATTTAAGTTCCTTAACAGCAACCCAGGTTAGGCTTTACATACGGAAGTTGGGGTTGGGGAGCCTATAGGTTTACAGTATGGGGGTCATGGGTGTTGAGGGTGTGGGGTTTGGCTTAGGAGTTTCGGTTCCAGGTTTAGGTGTGGGCTAGGGCAGGAGGCAGTTCGGTTCAGCTTCAGGGGATGTGAAGGTTTTGAAATCCTGTTTATCTGCCAGTTCTACTGCCAGACTAATCAATTAGCTGAGGCTTGTGTAGGGTTCAGGGTATTTGCAGCTGCAGGCCTTTTCATGCTGAGTGACTGATGAATCTGAATCCCAACTCTCCGCATTAGCAAGCCACTTACAAAACCCCAATCCCTGAATCCTTAGCCAAAGACACATTATGAGATGTATTGCATTCATGTCAGCGAGGAGGCGCCTCGGCTGTGGCGTAAGCTTGATGTATTCCTTCCCTGCCTCAACGCCTTCGCTTCAAAAAAGTGACTTGAAGTGAACAACCGGAAAACCCATGGATCGCTTGTTCTGCTGGGGCGTCCCAGCCACCTGTGTTTGGTTGCAAGAAGGCTGTCTCAATCCTTCTGACTTTGTGCTCCTCCATTGATGATGAAGCTTTCTCCACGCGACAACCCAGGTTTTGGTGGTGATTCTAGGATTCCTCGGACATGTTGGTCGGTTGATTTTCATTTCTGAGTGTCTTTTTTGGGCGACCGCCAATGCAGCTGCTACTCTGCGTGGACCTCCCGGCCAAAACGCTGCAAACCTTGGTGCAGGCGCCCTCTACGCTTCGCGAGATCCTGTCTCCCACGGTCTTAGCCAGCTCCAAAGCTGCAATTAGCTTGGAACCCTGAAGCAGGGTACCCAAAAATGTCAAATGGCATAGTAAACCTATTGCCTTCCTAAACCCTCCTGCAGCAATACGTATGCTTTGTTTCGCTCTCAAACCCCACTTCAATTATCCAGGCTCCTGTGTCAGGGTAGAGAGCGCAGCAGGAGATCCATCAAGCGCGGGCGTTTGTGAAAGGATCTTGCCGTGCAAATTTTGGGCGCAGGGTGTGGAGGTTGGGAGATCCCGTCAGTCTGGCCAGAGTTGCTAAGTTCGGTGATGACAGAGTCAGTATGCAGAGCTCTGATGAGCTATGATGTTATTGTCAGAAAGCTTACCATGTAATTACGTATTGTTTGATGATAGGAGTTCCCAAAGATAGAGATTATTTATAAAAAGCTTCTCGTTTAAGTGGCCCTCTTTTGCGCACCCTTTCCAGCACGGCGCCTGGTTATCAAAAATGGGACTGTGCAGTAATCTGGGAAATCCAAGGTAAAAAAGCTTACAGTGTTCTGACAGCCAGAACCCGAAACTTGCACATGAAGCAGGTAGGTAGGGGAGTCTTGGCACTAGGCTTTTGTGGGAGTCTCTTAAGCTGAGCGTCTCAAATGTGCTCCAAATTTCAAATGCCGAAGAGCTAGCTCAGAGGGCTGGGTAGACCGCATGAACCTCTCTTCATATCTCGAGCAATTAGGTACAACACCCTCAACTTGGGCCCGGAATCTTGAACATTTCGCGCAACACCCGAGATGGCAAATCAAAGCTCTTTTGTCGAGTCGGTAAGCTGAGGTGTGGTGGTGTGCCACATGCCTCAGGCTGGCCAGGGCTCAGGGTGTTGGGATGTTGGGCATTGGGCCTCTTTGCAAAGTCGAAGGGAGAAGGGAGCCCCCCTAGACAGTACTTCCCGCCCGACTGTCAGGTCTTTAGGACATGAGCTGAATGCCGCAAAATCTTACATTTTCCGTCTGGAAGGCCATCGAGCATCCTATATCCTAAGCCTAAAGTCCTGTGTAGTCCGGTTATGAGGAGCTCGGGTCTGAGGCATCATTCAATTCTCCAACTTAGTCTTGTGTCGCTACCTAGTAGCAACATGAGTCATTCGAAATGGGAGAAGTGATGCCTTTATGATGGGAGTCATTGCTGCAATAATGACAGCCATACTACTTGCAAAGATAAGATCAGGCCATGGCTGTCGTGGGCGAGCGGGAACCCTCTGAAATTGGTCAGCGCGTTTGCCACTGCCTCAGCTCAACAACGACTGGATTTAGGGTTCAATCATTTTGGGAGGGTTCAGTTTGTTGTTCTTTCACGTCTCAGGGTTTAGGAAATTCTTGACCCCAGCACTTTAAAAGGACGGGAGCTACTCAAGATCTTCGGGTGCTGTTGTGGGGCCCGGGATCCAGACAGCATATATTCTGGGGCATGTTAGAGGGAAGGCCGTTCGCGTTCCTCAGCAATGCCATCACCTTTTGTCGCTGCGTTACCCTTACTACAGGTGACGCACAAGCTAGACAGGCTTGAATGGCCACACCACAAACTCGGAAGGTCGCTTGGATAGCTTTCTGCAAGCTGACTGGTCACATGGGGCTGTTATCCCAATAGTGGAGAATGAAACGGACTATGAAATGGAAAGCGGAAAATTTTGCGGTTTGGACGTGCGTTGCCTACCAAAAGCAATCGAGCTGTGAATACCGTTGTGAATGGCGCTGGGTAGATGGGATACGTAAGAAGCGATACTTGACAGCGCTTGCGTGATCATGAGGCCTCACATTCGGCCGTACCCTCTTTATTGCAGATCTCGCAAAATAAGTTGAAACAGTTCTAGGGCCCAAGAATACGCATTGCATCCGCGTGATGTGATACTTTTGGTCATCTGAGGCGATGTCTTGGCGCACGCTCCTCCGTTGAAGGAGGCCTTGAAAGACCTGCGCGCCTTGCCCTGATGCACTACGCTCTGAAAGCAAAACCCAATTCAGCAAAAGTCCCCTTAACTCTCACGGCCTAGATGAGATTGTGTGTCCATGTTCTTGGCCTATGTCCACCCCATAACTGTCACTACACCTGCCTGCTTTTGCATCGAAAGCTGCCCGTGGGAGCCTTGTGATTCGTTGTCTTTTGTGAGCATCACACATGGACACCGGTCTTCGATAGTGGGAGGCTTGTTTTTGGACAAGCAGGCCTTTAGAACAGAACCTTAGACTCAGACAGACATGGAACTTCCTTGATGAAGCCTCTTCCGGGAGGATCGCGAACATTGGATGCTATAGGAGAGCTCGCGAGCGATTGCAAAGAAATGCTGGCCCATGAACCATACAACAGAACTTGCACAGGGCCTCCGTACACCAAGGACCCACCAACATCAATTTCGCAGTGACTGTGGTTAGCTGAGTTCCCGCCTCCTACCAGACAAAGCCCTATGTTTCAATGCTTCTTGCCCTGAAGCCAGCCCAGAAGTGAGACCTCAGGTGAACGCCTCCCAGAAGCGGGATTGGAGCATGTGGTGCCAGCTTTGGCTCCCCAGCGTTATTTCAGTGGGATGAGCTACCCCACCTCAATTCTGAACAGGCGGCAGCTTAAACATGCAAAAGTGGGCCAGCGCATTCGTTCTAATGGGTGTGCAGATGGCCCAGTTTGAATAGGTTTTGACGTCAACGCTTGCTTCTTGTAGTTGTTGCGGCTGAATGTTACGTGGCCGCTGTTGGCCGCTTCATTTTTTCGTTCATAGCTTTTCCTCCAAGGAAATCCTGCTTCAAAAGCTTTTTATGGTCCAAATCCCAGTACAAGCCCGCTACATGTGTTTTCCCAGCCGAGGTTCCCGTTCATGGAGAAGATTGTAGGCCATCTCCGTAGACTCCCGACACGCGCCCACCCAGGCGTAGGTGTGATGTAACAGCCTCGTATAATCCCTACCTTGTACTTGTGCTTGTAGACAAAGCTGTTGAACCGCACGGGTCCCGACTGGTCTTGCCAGAGATTATTCTTTATCATCAGAATTTTCAAAGGAGCACAATTCTGAGAATCCGAAACTAGACCTCTGACAACCCCCCAAACGGCTCGTATGACGGATTTCACACCGCGAGTTAAGCTCCCAGTCCCCCAACAAAACTAATTATCCCTAAACCTCCAAGCCCTGAACCCGACAACCCCACTACGGCTTCTATTCATCTAAGGACGCCTTTTTCGCTGAGGAGACGCCGGAGACAGCAGGTCAACTTGCGCTTCTTGGCGAGGGTTCGTTTTTCAGGGTTTACTTACTGGTGGTTAGCAGGGAATGACAGCATGGATATGCACCTATTTCGTAGTCACTCATACTGTACAGTTTTCAGTTTATGCTTGAAGATTCAGTGGTTTTTGCTTGGGGCTGGAGGTGCATGGTTGAGTGTTTGCGCGTCATTTCAGCATTGAGGTTAGGGTTCACAGCTAGGTTAGGACTTCCAGGAGCAGTTGTGGGTTTTCGGGCTCATAGCCTTGGGTTGAAAGCTTCCAGCTTGGAGCTTAGAGTTCGTAATTCGTTTTCGAGAGGGTATATATATATATATAGGTATATATATGTATATATGTATATACAAATATATGTATATATATGTATATATCTGTATATATATATATATGTTTTTTATATGTATATACAAATATATGTATATATATATATATATCGCGGGCGTCGTATTGGCAATCAGCTCTCCCAGTTATAGTTCTTCAGTTAACTTTGCTGTGGTGTAAGAAGTATCCAAGGAAGTAGGAGTCTTAACAAGGATGCTATGGTCCCCATGTCCTCTCAAATACAGTATTTTTGAAAGGGAATAAAATCTTACCTGATTCAACCATCATAAATCGAGTTTTGCGAGGTATGCAACTGCATGTAGGTACTGGTCCTAAACCCTAAACCTCAAACCCACCATTGCCGCATGGTCCCCCAATCTGTTGTCAGTTTACGTTGAATTGTACCCGGATGTAGCGGAAATCAAAAGGAATGTTTGGGACCTTCCAACATAGGTCTTTTGGTCCAGGAAGCAAAAATCCCAAGTGCCCGATTCGCAGAAGTTTCGACTGAAGCCATATTTTTTTGGGTTTATAGGGTTTTGGGGTTTGGGGCTTGGGATGGAGCCTTCAGCAGCTCGATCTACAGTTCAATGCCCCCCAAAACTCTAAACCCTAAACCCTTGTTTGTGCAGAGTTTTATGAGGACTGAGCTGTGTGAATGGGCGGTGTTGTCCTAGAGCTCGGGTGGGCCAAGTTGCTCCTTACCCTGTATCTGCAGGCGTAGAAGAGGCGCTCAAAAAGACAAACGAAGCCCCAAACTCACTGGGAAGCCAGAGCCTCCGAGATCCTAACTGTCCTAACTTCTACATACCCAACCTCAGGGGATGTTTCTCCTAGTCGTTGAAAATCCAGAATAGCTTCTGCCTGCGAACTGAACCTGAGCCCTCTATGATCCCATATCCCTTTACCATATTCCCCTTATAGCCTGTGTACTCTGAGCCTAAACATCAAGCCCAAAGCGCTGAGTCCAAACCAACTCTGGGGCGCATGCTATAGTCTAAACTCCTTAAAGTGGGCTTATTCAGGGGGAGAATATAGGGTTTAGGGTCTAAACTCCTTCAAGGGGATTATATAGGGGACTACTATAGGGGTTATAAACCGGATACGAGGAGGTTAGAGTATAGCTCATTTTGAGGCTGTCGCTGATCACTGGTCTTGATCTTCTTCCTTTCGAAGATCAAATCAAGCTGCTTGCTTCCAGTGAAGCCGGAGCTTTTGAGGGCTAAAGAATACTGGCTCACTTTTTGACTGAATCTGAGGTTTTATTCTACAAAAACCTTACCAGGAATGGACGAATGGACGATTATATTGGAAGGGGCGACTATGTTATACCTTCTCTAATGATATCCTGTTGGGGGGGCACAGGTAAGGGTTTGGAATGTAGAGATTGAACTGGGGGTGTAGTGTTGAGGTGTATTGGTGGGCACTGGTGTGAAGTAAAGGTCCGTTTAAATGGGAAAATTGTATGGACCGCCAGGATAGGAAGATAGCTATTGCTTCACGAAAGATTCATGATGGCATTGCAGTTTTTCTAATGCAGTTTTTGCATCCCCCGACTCTCATACTCTGGCTAGTCATGTCGTTAGTCATGGCCACGTAAGTTTGTGCGAAAGTTCTGCGTATGCACCGCGTACGTAGAGGTTACAATGTCTGTGCAAGGACTCGCAGTAGGTATGTGTGTATGGATCGCTGGGACAGTGGATATTGGTTGAATGCTTCAGATTCAATGCTTTAGCGCCGGGATTTTCTAAGTCAGCGGCTTTCAGATCGAACAACCTAGCTATCAGAAGCATGCGAGGAGACGGGTCCGCGAAACTGTCGCGAAACTAAAATGCTAAACCTGTTTTTCCTTGACTTGGACAGTCATTTTGGGATTACAACAACTGACCTGCAACTCCCATGTCTGGTGCCTGTTCGTGGCTCAGGAGCGTTGTTACGCATTAAAGGCTAAGGTTTAAAGTTAATGGCAAAGTTTGTGCGTCAAGAGTTTCAGAGATAAGTTCTGGGGAGATGCATGCACTTCTTGAGCAGTTCGCACTTTGGCCGGGATTTGGGATCGTTTGAGTAGTTCACAAACCTAGGCGTCCCCAGCATGCTCCCTCCAGATCAAGGACGGTAGTACAGTGACCCCTGACATCAGGCCTTCCAGTAGAATTATGGTAGAGATGGGTAGTTGCCAAACAAAAAGTCAGCTGATGAACCCCCATATGAGTATCTCTCAACATGAGGTCCCTCCACATTGAGCCCCACATGGGTTCACATTCCCAAAATGGAGCACGCACTCTTGAGAAACTTCTATGGGGAGGTCTACAAAAATGGAAGTCCCTCATATATACACCAACATCTTATTATGTTGTGCTACAAGAAGGCCATCAAAAAGAAAAGACCTCTAGCTTCTGGAAACTCCAGTATCACAGCAAGGCTCTTGACCGAGTTCTTCGCTTCGAGACGCAGCGAGTTGGTGCAGGGGGTTGAGGGCAAGGTGCCCTGTGGCATGCTTGGAGGCCAGGGGGTTTAGTTTCTTTCTCCCTGAGTTTAAGTTGTGGTAGCTTTGGCTTTATGTTGTGTAATTAGGTCCTTCTGCTGTTTGGTTCAGAAGCTGTGCCGCAGGGGCAATTCAGGGTATCTTTGTACTGATCTGTTTCGTGTTCAGCACACATCCAATAATTTGGGCTACAATTACACGAGTCATGAGTTATAAGGGTGAAGCTTGAAAGGGGTTTCTGGCTTCAAGATTCAAGCTCCTTGCAATTGTACGGCAGGATGAACTTTGTTTGTGGCTAGTAAGGGTCTGGTAGGTCCCTGCAGGCTTTCTCACGCACCAGGCCATCTGTGATGGCTGCGGCGTCGAGCCAATGCGAGGACCGCGGTTCAAATGCACCAGCTGCCCCAACTACGACCTCTGTGGCAACTGCTATGCCCGGAAGCGCGAGATCCACGGGGCAGAGTGTGCCGTGCACGACTTCGATTGCATCCTCTCCGGCCTTTTCCCAGTCAGCTTGGGCAGCATGATGTCTGGCCAGCCTTGGAATCCACAAAGCTTCAGGAACTGGGGCAAAGGCGCCAGTAAGGGCAACATGGGTGGCATGCCTGGTTTGGTGCAAGGCCTTCTGAGTGGACTGGGCAAGGGCGGAGCTTCAGAAGCTTCTGGTGAGGCACCGAACCCTCTTGGTGGTCTTGCGAACTTCCTCGGTGGGCTGGCTGGCAAAGGTGGGGCGGGTGGCGCAGAGAATCCCTTGGCCGGGCTTGCTGGATTGTTTGGAAAGGGTGGTGCCCAGAGTCCTAGCGGATGTAGCAGCAATGGGGCAGAGAACCCTCTGGCTGGCTTGGCTGGATTGTTTGGAAAGGGTGGTTGCCAGTCTCCTGGTGGGTCTGAGGGGCATGGGGCAGAAAACCCCTGGGCCGGCCTAGCTGGCTTGTTTGGCAAGGGAGGTGCCCAGAATGGTTGCAACAGGGATGGCGGCCATGAGCCTTGCAACCCCTGGGCCAATCTTGCGGGATTCTTTGCCGGGAAAGGCAAAGGCAAGGGCCACCCTTTTGCTGGCATGGGCAAGGGCTGCCACGCAAACCCAGCTGGCACAAGCAACTTGGCCCGCAAGCTTCCTAAGTTGAGGGAGTGCAGGGTCCGCCGTCAGGTTCTCTGTCAGATATTGAAGGGCTGATAAACATGCATGCTACTTATAGGCGATCACTCTCTCCGGTCCTTGCATTAGATATCCCTCAAGGTGAAGGAACAGCAAGTGTTCAACTGTTGTTGGAGTTTACGGCAGAGATCTCCACACCCATTACGTGGATTCATGAGGTCGAGTACGTGTTTTTAACTTTTTATCAGGATAAGGAGGCCAGGGCTGACTATCACGTGGACTGCGATTTGGATTGGGCGCGTCCTCCCAGGGATTACTCGAATCATGTGTTCTTTTGTCAACGCTACGCCGCACCCAAGACAGGCACCTAGAACCCTTGAGAAACTCAATCTCCTTACTTCCAAATCAATTATATCCGTTCTTATATCCGTTCTTATACAACAACACCTACAAATACCGTTATACCTAAACTCTTTCTTTTGCCATAGACCAAGGCGCACCACCTTCCACTACCCAAACCGGCTACGAGCAACCGGCCGCCTCAGCGCCCACGCCATCTCCGGAGCGGTTTGGGATATGATCAGGGTATATAACCCGTATACTAGTTTCCTTTTTCTTTTCCATTATCACTAAAAGAACCCCAACATACTGTACCCCTATATAAAACACCTATAATGATCAGGGTAAGTGTAGAGGGTGGAGAAGGGAAGGCGAAGGGGAAGGGAAGGTCGGGGTAGGCTTTCAGCCGACTTCCTAAACGAAGGCTGCAACCAAATAGCCTTACTCCAAGCCCTGCGAAAGCCCTAGACAGCAGCAAGGAGATCATCTTAGGGCTTTCGAACGGGAGTGGGTGCAGAGTTTTGGGGGGGAAGGTCAGGTTGCTTCGTGGTGTCGGCCTATGCATTTTTGGGGCTTGTCCAGCTAAGGTTCGTTGTACGAAGGGTCAGGAGTTCGGATAACAGGTTTTTTGAGACATGGTGGCCCGCAGAGGCTGGGCGCCTGCCTGTGACGTGGTACCGTGTGGGTTGTGCTCAGATCTCTCGAGTCTGACAGTTGATTGCCTCTGTCATTCAGTGGCGATCACGCGCTGCGAACGCGCGAGCGGCCCCTCACCGCATAGCTTTGGGCTCCGCCCGCGGTGGAACATCATCGTGGTGATCGCGATCAGCGTGGTGATGATAACGAAGATGATGGTCACAACCACCATCACCGCCAAATTTGTGATGGTGGTGATGCTGATGTGGACACTGAGGATCGTGATGGCGATGATGATGATGATGATGAGGATGATGACAGACGGCGACCATCGCGATGGTGATGGTCCACCGAGTGGTAGTCTCGTGTAGCAGAACATCGCGATGCCCCGCTGCCGTCATTGCAATATGGGCTTGCCCAACAATCTGCGAGCAGGTCAACATCCATTTAGATTTTCGCCTACTACAAGCATCCCTTTTTGGCATCAGTAGTCAGTCGATTCCAATAAGGCACTCTTGACTTCTGAGCCTGGGAAACTACTTGGAAACAGCATCATTGGTCTTAACAGCACCTCAATCAAGTCCTTGATCAATGCTGATCAGGTGTTGTTGACTGATCATGGCGCGAACCGTCATAGTGCCGGCGGCAAGCCTCTGGCACCCATGAAAACATTGACAGCACTTGAAACATTAATAGAGGTTTTGTGCAGCTTTAGGTCTTCTTTGGAAGTCACAATTCTGAACGTTTGGGAGGTACATGAAGGGACCCCTGTTCTGAGAAGCTGCTTGCATGAAGCCATGTTGATCTGCAAGAAGAGTCACTTAGTAGGACGAGCCTTCGGCACCACCGTCGGACACTGTGGACCAGAAGATGGAGATCGAAGCGAATAGCGTTGAGGCGTGCAATACTTGGCTTGGATGTTAGTAATTGTCACTGCGCATGTTGCATTTTCACACGTGCAAGCAGCAGCTGGAAGTGGTAGGAAAACTGACAATGTTATCCGGTCTGGCTAGCAATTACCTTCAAAAGAACGTTTGCCTCGCGCGGTGAGGATCTGAGGCAGTAATTACAGGACTTTGAATGTGCGGTTTTGTTGGTAGGATCTTCTGGTCATGCAACTTTATTCAGAATCTAGAGTTGCCAGATTCTCTACGGAGGCTGACGTGTGCGGGCTGGTATACCTGCAGCCCTGAATCACCCAGCAGCCCTCAACCCTGAACTCAAACCGCAAGCCCTCAGCCTGAAGACTGCACCGAGCCCTGCAGGAGCCTTCAACCCCACCACCGGCGAGCTTAAAGGTTGAGGAGAAGAAGCTCTTGGATGTGAAGGACAGCAGCATGTTGATGATGACGGTCTATGGTATCATGGAAATTTTTGTTGTTGCTTCCTCTCTGCAGATATTCAGTCATATGCCGGTCAGCGTGAGCATGGGGTTACACCTGCTACTGTACCATACCAGCACTTGTTGGAATTGTTTGAAAGGACCGTCTTGGGAGCTGCTAGGTAGGGAGAATCGGTTGGAACATGCTACCTGCGGGGGGAAGGGGGTGCCTTTGTTATGAATCCTTTTCAAGGCAAGTCCAACTTGTCTTCTGCAAGGTAGTCCTGAACAATTTTCTTGAAGAAAAACAGCAAGGCAAGGCTCAGCCCACGGCAGTAAGGACCCCTCAGACCTCACATTAAGGCCCCCAAGCCACAGGAGGAGCCGGAAAACATCCGCTATTCCTTCCCGGTGCAGGCAAGGATGGGTGGGTGGGAAGGTTAAGGAGTTCGTTGTGTTCATGTACATGTGTATATATATGTACATATGGATACATATACAGATATAATCATATATATATGTATATAGGAATGCTTACATATATATATATATAGTTGCTCCATATAGCTACATATTACGTACCCATAGGTATTTTTCGTATTATACGTGTGGGGTTCCCGGTCTCGGGCGTGAGGGTGTTCGAGATAAGACTTGCATTTGGGGGCTGTAGTGTGTCGTTGTGAGCTTCGATTTCCAGACTTGCCCCAAAGAACCCAGAGGGGAACCATAGTTGCGAGAGAAGCCCTGAAATCCAAGAACCCAAGGTCCAGAAGCTCGACAGAAACAGGGCTCAAGCACTGAAGGAATGCATATATATATATATATCTATACATATAGTTGCTCCATAGTTATATACTATGCACACATAGCCAGCCGCCTCACTTAGGAGACCATCTTCTACGGAAGCCGACTCAGGTCGAAGAACAAGAGATCGACAGTTCTTCTTGAAACACATCTCTTTGCGTTCTTGCGTGGCAAGCATCACGATATCCAGCCAAACCAGGTGGATGATGGACGTAACCTGCAACTTTCCTGGACCAAAGCTGACGATCGGGAGCTGGTGCGGGCCTTGCTGTTTCCTGGTTTCGGGTTTGGGCCTGGATCTTCAAGAGAGTGACCAAAGGCTTTGCTGATCCCCCCTAGCTTGCGGTTGCGCGAAGCCCAGCGCCCTTGGCGCATTCTGTTCTGGGTCCTGGGTTCGACTCATATTTTTTTTCCGGCGGGCACCTCTGCCTTAAACATTACAGTCATCTCCAGTAGCAGAAGCTGCAGTGCGAAGAGGTGGCCCGTGAGTTCCTTGGTCGCTACCACCTACCGGGAGATCAGGCCCCTGATGCTTTTGGGTCTTAGGCTTCACAGTTTCAGGCTAGCTGGGGTGTCAGGACTTCAGCGGTTCAGCGGTTTTGTTGATCTTTGATTGTTGGATTTAGGGGGTCCCTCAGTGCTCTGTAGGGCTTGGACATTTTCACTTGGTTTACACGGGCATGGCAGAAGAATGTCGTGATGTAGAAAACACCTTGCACCATGGATGAGTGTAGGCCCCCAAACCCTAAATCCTGTCTGATTTGATGCCCCGCTTAAGTTGATTTCAGGTACCCTTCCCAAAGCTAAACATGCACTCTAAAGGGCTGCCTTGCGAAGACGGGCAGGATTTCAGGAGTCTTTATGGAGCCCCTTTCCAGGTTACATTTCAAAGGTGTCCTTCAGCTGTGACCTGCGAAGTCGTTCAGTGTGCGGCTGCAAGAGCTTCACAGAATCAAAGCACGGGCGTGAGAACCCTAAACCCTAAACCGCGTGGCTAGCAGATCGGAGAGCATTGATCAGCCACCCGAAATTGCAGTGGCAAATTGATCGCACCCTCATGCTTTAGCTGCAAACTGTACATGAAGCAAGGTTGTCTTCACCAAGCTCCCAGGAAAATCCAGCGAAACGCCATCAAGTCAAATCCGTGCATTCTTACAGGCTTACCACACGCCTTTATGTACCTGGCCCTGTACCTTCATTCAGTTGTAGAAGCCAGGGGTGTAGGGGGGTAAATCGTACTGCTTTTTTCGTGTTCCTATATTCAGGCTGTGTGGTCTGGTAGGGGTAAACAGGGATTGTAATTTTAGAGCACATACTCATTAGTCAAGTTGCTCTATACATCTCTGACCTGGTGCAGAAGCTGCCGTCACCGGAGGTGAACCAGATTGTGGCCTTCATGAATCATGCGGAGTGCCGTGTCTGAATCCTTCAAGGTAGCAGGGAGGAGCGTGGGAGGGTTTAAGCCCCGTGCAGGGCACTGAGCCTCCTCCCAGCCACCCTTTCACTAGCTCTTGGTTCTTTCTTGGGCTTTTCTGTTGGTTCGCCATGGCGTTCAGATAAGCGCCAGGTCCGCATAGAATACCTGAAAATGACGGCATCTGCAGTGTTCGAGGCCTCGGTAGCACATAGCTGTGAAATACGAGGCCTACAGCCCAGCAAGGTAAGTTTCGCTGAGGAAACACACCCAAAACGCGACCGAAAACAACAACAACAACAACAACAACAACAACAACCAAAACAAAGCAGAAATTCCTAAAATGATTTTGATGATAATGGGCTACAGAGAGTTTAAGCACACCGCGCACATGCTCAAGCCTTTGCATATGATGTGGATCCATGCAGGGTGGGGTTGAGGGGAGTGCAACCATGGAGTTGGGCAAAAATGGGGATAATGGAAAATAAGATGGAAACTACCATTTAGGATTTAGGGTTTAGGGTTTAGTAATATTAGGGTTATTTAGGGGATAATGGAAAAGAAAATGGAAACTACTATCGTGATATAGGGATTATCTAGGAGTTATATTGGGTTTAGATTGGGATAATGGAAAAATGGAAACTAAGCACTTTCCTGAGCATCCTCATAGTTCTCAGGGACCCTCAAACCCCAAAGCGTGTACACATATATATATATATACACAGACACATATAAAACACATACATGTACACACACATGTATATGTATGCATATAAACATATGTATATATACATGTCTATGTGTATACATATATACACATACACACACATATACATATGTATATAAATATACATCTTCCCCAGGTCCATCAGTGCACCGAGCTGCGCCGCCTCTAGCACCCCAGCCTCCAGCGCCGCGGCCTGCATTGCTGCCTCCAGCTGGGAGCAGGCTCCGGGCATGGAGGCCAAGAGCTGATTAGTGTCCCTTTAAAGGGGGTTTATACGGGTTATATAGGGATAATGGAAAAGAAAATGGAAACTATAGTATAATTAGGTATATATTGGGGTTGTATAGGGGTTATATAGGGATAATGGAAAAGAAAATGGAAACTACTATTTAGTAATTCTAGTTAGTATTAGTATTAATATTAGTATCGTTCACAGTAAGTACAAACAGCATTATCTTAACGACTAATAACCAGTAAAGCTATGATTTGTATTAATTACTATAAGTACGTAATGATAAGATGTATATTAGTTACTACTGACAAGATTTTTTAGCGACTATTCCCATTGGCGGTATTATTGCCATCGTTGCTACTATTCTTACTATCATTACTTAGTTGCGTTTTCTCGTGCTCGCGCTCGCTTTCTTCAGTTTCTTCTACATGTGCCAGTTATTGTGCACTTTCATGTCTAACATGATCGCATTGATGATGGCGGTCATGGCAACGATGATCGTGATGACCATGGTGATGATGCACCTTCTCACGACGAGCTGTGCTTGCGTGATCTTTTGGATCTTCTGTAAATTGCTTAATGGACATCCCAAGAAGTTGCTGAGTTTCCTTCGCGACAGTTTCTCGTCGTTGCAGGTAGCTTCCTCTTCTTCTTCCTGACTAACTGGTACTGATGGAACAAGTCCTTGTCAATTTCCTCCGATCCCAGCCCACAAGCTAGGTGAGCTTACCTGGTCGTCCAGAGCTGCCAAGGGTATGATTTTTGGACTCATTTCCCACCGTTGCCTAAATTGTGTGCTCAACCCCAACCCTAAGTTTGGCATCTGGCAATCAGGCTGCCCCGACCTACGATGAGCAGATTGCCCAGCTTCAGGATCAGGGCTTCACTGTGGACGTGGAGGAGCTCAAGAGCCCAACACCCCTCAGTTAAGGAATGGCTTAAGATCTAGTATGTTGATACGGTGGTTTTAGGAACTCCTAGGCAAGCCTCATGCTTGGTTTAGGTTTGGGGGTTTTGGGGCTTGATAATGGCTTCAAGCAAACTCAAAAGTGCAGGGATGGTGGCTTGATTTTCTTTTCAAATTGCTTGACTCCATTTTTGGGTGCCAGACCCCAGGGTTTCCCTATGTAACCCTGTATAACCCAATATAAAGTAGTTTCCATTCCGTTTCTTTTTTGATTCTCCATGATCGGCCAGGAGGACCAAGATGACACGGGCATCCCCTCCTCCGATCCAAGCGGGTACCAGCCCCCAAAGCCGGACCAGCCACCAGTCAGCGTGGCTCCAACCCCACCAGCGGAACCACCATCGCTAGCCGAAGAGCAAGGACTCGTAGCTGCCCTGAAGTCGTACGAAGTCCAGGAGTGGCTTAGGGTGCTATGTAGGATGCATGTCCTGACCCAGCAGATGCTCCTCGGTGGCTTGGAGTATGATGAGCTGCTGCCGCTATGGGCCAAGCGCATGAAGGTGCTACACGCACCGCCGCCGCTCTTCGCTGGCATTAAGCTCGCGGTGACAGAGAAGGGGGTGACCTGGCAGGCCATCGCTACGGCTAAGCTAGTCGCTGGCGAAAATGGATTCGTGGCAGTTGCTACAGGCGAAGGTAGTACGTACACAGTCCTTGACCGTGGCTCCAAGCTGCAGGGCGCTCTCTCGGCTTTGTTCGGGAAGATGTGGGACTACCCACCACTCAAGGAGTTGGTGGAGGACCGCAACCGCTTCATGCTCATTGCCACCTCTATCAAGGCCATTTACGACCATACCGCCAGGAAGATGGAGTTAATGGCCAGGTTGATCATCGCCAAGGACGACAAACATGTTCTGGTCAAACACAACTGTGGGGACTCGCCGACCTATCTGCAGAATCACCCAGAGGCTGCAACAGCTCCGACCAAGCGCCAACGGTCCCAGCAAAATCGTAGCTACCAGCAGAGTCGATCTCTCCGAACGGAGCCAGCTGCCAGCGTCGCTCCGGAGCCACCTTATCCGCCTCCGCATGTCTCGGGAGATGCCCGGACCTGGGATGGATGGCGTCAGCAGTCTTGGCACTCGGAGGGAGGCGGTCAGAGCTGGAGAGGTCAGTGGTGACAGAGCTACAATCGCTAGCGGCACTGCCTGAGGCCCGGCACTGCTGGCCATGAGATTTCTCACGCCAAGGCCGTAGGACGTCTAAGGCGCCTTGCAGACCTTTTTCTTGAGCTCAGACAAGTGCAGCTCCGCACCAAGAGAAGGCAATGCGCGTTACGAGTCAGCCAGACTGACTACTCAAGCCTTGACATTGCAGAATCTTTTTGCTTTTTGTGCCAGGCCGTGGAGTCTGAGTAGAGTGCAGATGCTAGGCCTCAGTGGAGGACCTACGGGCCTCATGTGCTTGCGACTGGATCCCTAGCGACGGAGCAGCTGAAAGCTAAGCGCGTAGCTGCCTCTTGGAGCTAGAGTGCGTGATTTTTGCTGTTTGCTTCGATGAATCCTTGTTTTTCTTATGATATCTTGGTTTCTGGGCCGCAGACAATGGCTGACAAGTCACTTGTTCGTCTCGCCGGGAGTGAAGGGTCAGAAATGCCCGCCATGCTCAGAGCACGCTCGAGCTTCGTTCAATTCAATTCTCCGTTATTGTGGGAATGTACCCCTTTATTCCTACCTAGTCCCCCTGTAAGCGCAAGCTTTGTGTGTCCGGATCCCGGGGCATGATGGTTCTGCAAGATGTATGGATCTCGTGTCATCCGTCCAGTGGGGACTCTGAACCCTAAATCCTTAAACCCAAAGCTTGATTGAACTTGAAGGCCTAAATCTTGAACCCTAAACCCTATCCCCTAAGATCCGCACCATTCTTGGCATTCCTGAGGAGTTGAGGAGTCTTCTTACCGCCTTTGGCGGCAGCATGGAGCGGGTGGTAGAAGCGCTCGTCCAGTAAAGGGTGTAGGGGTTTCGTGTTCTCCTGTAATCCTACAATTGCCGGTCTGTTGCAAGTAAGTTCAAGGACAGTCTTGAAATCTGGGTTGGGGGATGGAGCTTGCCTTCTCTGGCCATGAACAGGAAGCATTGCCAGTCTGCTTCGTCGCAGGAACATTACCGAAACTTTTGAGACCCTGATTGAGGTGTTCACCGTGGATTAGAGGATCACAGGATGTCTCTCCAGGATTGGAACCCCAAACCCTAAACCTAGTTGAATCAATCCTACCTTATTCCGCTTCAAGTTGTGAGGTGTCGTGGTAGTGAACAGTGCTGGCTCTAGCACCTTCTACCTAAACCCCAAAAGTATGTAAAATAAAAGCCCTAAAGCCCTAATAGTAGCCATAAGGGCATTATTTTACTTACTTTTGTGGTCCAGGTAGCAGTACAACAACCCAGGATGGTCCTCAAGACCAGGCAGTGATCCCAAAGTTGTATGTATCTACCTTCTAAAGAAGGGTTTAGGTCTAGGATGTAGGGTATATGAGCCATAGCCTTAACTCCTTAAAGGGGGTTATGTAGGGGATTCAATAGGCAGGTATCATAGGGGTTATTAAGGGGGATACTAGGAGTTTTGACTTTAGCTCATATGATTAGGGTTAGGGGGTATATCATACAAAAGATCCTACAACCCAACCCTAGCTTGTGCATCTTCTGTAAGAGCGGGCTGGCAGGTGACTTCAGGGCCATTTTCGTTGTTTCCACCAAGATGTGTGAAATCGCGTGTGCCGTCTCCATGAGCTCTGCAACTTCACGCTCAGTGTTGAAGATAATCATTCTCATTATCCGACGGCCTGTATACTGGATCAAGGTCATGGATCCTTTGTACTTTTTTGGGTGTGGGATTCCTTTTATCTATGCAAGAAGGATCCTTTCTAGGGCCTTTTAGGGTAATTTGGGCCAAGTATTCTAGAACGTTGACCAGGGACTTGACCGCGGAGAAATTCCAAGCAACATATGCTCTCGTCTTTGGACCAGGGTGTGTTGAAGTCTTGCAGATAGCCAGTCGAGACACTCGTGCTTTCACCAGGCAAAGCTACACCAGCCTTTGCCGTCATGGTCCCTTGTTCTGCTTGTGCACAGGAGTTGTTTTGAGGGCCAGTGAGTCAGTGTCGCGTTGGAGTCTTCGAGAGATATTGCAGAGCTCACGGAGGCAGCTGGACCTCGCATAGCAGTGCCAGCATTTGTGTTCACAGGCTGGCAAAACAGATCCTGGCGATTCCGATCTGGGTGTCAATCTGGCGAGGAAAAGCTTGCATCACAGGCATATATGTCAGCATCTGTTGTGCAGCATCCACAGATCTCACAGAGACTTTAAGCCCTAGTTCCTTGCAAGTCCATTTACCTTTGAGAAAATCCTCTAAAGTCAGAAAGCTGTCCAAAAGAACATGAGTCAAAGTCAGCTTCCTCCACAAGCACATTCCTCGGATCACCCGAAATCTCTGTTTGGGAGAATCCCCAACAGGCCTTCCTTCGAAGACAGCATGCTTTACTTGAGATGAACAGGGTAAAGGCTATTTACTGTTCCATTTGATTCTCCATAAGGGGGTTACCAAAATCCTTTGTTGGAAGCAACCCTACATCCAGTATTCAGCCTTGAAGCTACGGCGGTGGCGGTGGTAAAGCTCAAAGCAAATGATGCGAGGACGTGATAAGATGGATGACCATTTGAAGTTGCAGTTCAGCCCCAGAGTCTGGAACGCAACACAGTCAAGTAGAAACCCAAATATTGAAACCGGACCAATTTGCAACCATATCCCCCTTGCACTCCTTCTTGTGACTTACGTCTCGGAATATTTGGAACTCCTAGCCCAAAGTTTTCCGGGTTTTCACGTGACTGAGGGAGGGTTGCAGGTCTTCTGCCGGGCGCATGGACACGGTGTTCTTTGAGCTGGCGACGTTGGTGTCGGGCCCAGACAAGGGGTCCTACAGTACAAACATCTACCTTACATCATTTAAGTTGAAATTTGCTATGATTATGCAGTTCTAGGTTGTTATGTTTTGTATTGTATTCTGATACTACTACCTTGTGTTATTGTAATTTGTTTGTCGTGCTATTATGCCTTAGAACACCATAGAGTATTACGGTACGTTATACCGCGTGTATGTGCCTACGCACTTCTGCGTAACCAGAAAGGTACGGGTAAAGACCATGCTCTATTACCGCATATATTCAAGGCGACTCCCATGTAGGTTATTGTCAATATGTCCCATACCAAAGGAATACTAGGGGACACGGGGATCTTTGCGGGAACTTACAGTAAAGTTAAAATTCACCCACACTTGCCCTGATGTCCACTAGCTGTGAAAGTCATATTGAGAGTAGCTCACGTGGGCTTCATTCAGTTTTGTGTGAAGTCATTCGGTGACACGCGGCCTTTGGCCTTAAAGTATCTGCGCAACATGGGAACTCAAGAGCCAGGGATATCAATCCCTTAGGTTCTTTTGGGGAGGTAGATTTTTTGAAAGCTCTGGAGGTCTTGGACCACTTGCCTGCGTGGTCATGCAGCCGTTTAGAAAAGCTGCTTACCCCATGGAATGGGCTCCTGACTTTTTGCAAAGAATCCCAAGGCAAAACAAGTTCTGATTTGAGCCATGGACGCTTCCAAAATTTGAGACTTCAGTCTTGCTGGTTGTTTCCATGACCCAACACAACTCGACCATCGTCTTGGCAGCAGCATGCTTTGCACACACAAAGGGATACGGGGAAACGCATGGTACCAAAACAGCGGTTGAACAGTTGATTTTAGCGGTGGCAGCACATGGACTCAGACCTCGAAGAAGTAGATTATTTTTCGCAGCGCCAGGGTCTATCCCATGAAACCCCTGCTTTTTGAAGTAGTAGGCGCAAGTTCGGGGCTCTTTCTGCTAGAAAAAAACGTGCTGTGAGTCGCAAGCTAGACAACTATATATGTTCGATTCTGATATTTTCAGGGCCCAAGCATGGGCCTAATCTAATCCCCCTTAAGTAGATGGAATATGGCTTTGGGTATATAATTACAAGATCCCCATATACCCCGTAGTCTATCTACTTCAGGGGGACTATAGGCCTTCATTATTTAGGCTACTTCACCAATAGCTCGCAAGGTCCGGGGCCGACTGAAGAAGCTGTCACTTACGGCCGGAGATCTGCCACGCTTTGCAGGGATCATCAAGGGAATTTTGTATACCAGGACCCTCCTTGTACTGGTTACATAAGGGTATATGGTCCCTCTTTAAGGTATACAGAGGCTAGATGGAGGGTCTAGGTAGGGAGTTACAAGGATCCATTCCCAATTTGCAACCGAGCATGAGAAGGTGTGGGGTTTCTAGGCCTGAATTGCCGCGGGTCTTGTGCAGACTTGCGCTGGGGCTCGCGCGGACCTTCGGGTTCAGCAAGCTATTTCAGGTTGTCTCGGACATTATGGAGTTACTGTGTTCGCGTGGCTTCCGCTTGAAACAGATGAGTATGGTATTCATGGACAAAGGTTCCAGGTGTCCTAAACCCTAAACCCGAAGCTCCCAAACCCTCAACTTCGGCACCTTCAACCCCAACGCATTTGAATCTAACAGTGAGAGCTTTTTCCCCTGGACCCGTATACCCGAAAGACTAAACTCTACACTTTGAGCCTTCCCCCCAAGGTTGCCTAGACCCTAAGCCTACATAGTGGTTTCCATTTCATGTTCCACTCTCTTTTCTATTTGATTCTCCCACTATGGGATCATATCCCTATCATTCCTATATAACCCCTATATCATCCATATAAAATTCCTACATAATCCCCATATCATCCCTATATGACCATCATAATCCCTATATCATGCCTATATAGCCATCATAATCCCCATATCATCCCTAAAGCCTAAAACCCTAAACCCCAAACCCTACACCCTAAACCCTAAACCGTAAACCCTAAACCCTAAACCCTAAACCCCAAACCCTAAACCCTAAACCCTAAACCCTCTCCCCTGCCAGGCTTTTGTCTGCACCACAGCCGCCTCCGGGCTTTGGCTCTTGCAGCCCCAAGTCATGGAGCAGAGTGCCCTCCTGGGTTGAAGTTACGGTCCCTTTAAAGGGGATATATGGGGATATATATATATATGCATATATATATATGTATATGTATGGTCCCTTTAAAGGGATATATGGGGATATT